ATATTTAAATTATGAAGGCATCTTTTAAGAGTTTTATTTCATGATTTTTCTTTTAGTAGATGAAATGTTTTTGAGTTATTGGATATACTAATATATATTAATAAAAAAAATAAATGAAGACTTTAAATTTCATCTTATTTGGGGGAACTTCTTATAAATTTTATGGGGTGAATTAATTTTATTAAACTTAGTGAATTAATTTAATAAACAAAAGAAAGGATTTGTAGAAATTCAGAAAGATATTGCAACCATAACTTTAAGATGAAAATTGTGTAGCACTCTTTCCTAAGATAAAATAAACATTATCTGTAATACCAATTTAATTTTTAAATATATTAACAAACTAAGATCGATTAATGTTAATGAAGTTTAAATTTTTTAAAAAAATTATTTGCTTAAACTATTTTATAAAAAATATTTTTGAAGTAATTGTATATATAATTTTAAAGCTTTTTAAAGACAGTGGGATTGGATGATCAGCAAGAATGAAATGATATGATTAATTATATTTATTATAGTTAAAATAATCATTTTGTAAAAAAAAAAACATAGTTTAAATTTTATAAAATTTATTTTATTAGAAATTGTTTTATTATTAATTATATATGTGTGTGTTTGAATATACATTTAAACTATTAGATTAGTGAATATATATTACTGAGAAATTTATTTTTAGTATCCTCTATAATTTTTAATAACTTCATGTTGTTAGATATAGAAAACATGTTTTTCTTTTTAGAACTCTGCTGACAAGGATAACATCGGAGAAGTTGAGTATCATCCGAGCCAGGGCATTCCATTCATGTATTTCCCCTTCACTAATCAGCAAGGCTACATGTCACCCTTCGTATTTGTTCAATTCAGCCACATCAACCGTGGTGTCCTCGTAAATGTCGAGTGCCGCGCCTGGGCCAAGAACATCGTCTTTGACAGGGGAGACAGATTAGGAAGCGTTCACTTTGAACTGTTGGTAGATTAAAATATAAGGAAAAAATAACTCAAATTTTCCCCTTTCCTGAAAAAATGCAATGTTCTAAAACTTGTCACTATCTCTCACTCTGTCAATTTCTTGCATTTTATCATTGAGTTTTAGTACTTCTTGTTTGTAGATTGTTTTGAATGGAATTGTGTACTGCTACCCCCATTTTAAATGTGTGTGCCATTTGCCATTGGAATTTAAAACAGACGAAAAAATACAAAAGCACATCTAACAGCACATAAAGCTTTCATGCGCTTGAATATTAAAATAGTATGATACATGTGTGAAAAATGTAAGCAGATTATTATGGTGTTAAACCTTTTATAGATGAAGTATTTATAAAATACTAATGATGCCAAATGTTTCATTGAACAGAGAATGGCAAATATTTGTCTAACGTAAACTTTCAATATTATTATTATTGTATTTTAGTAGGTAATTAAGCAATGTTTAACATTGCTCTATATTTGGTAACTGAGTGCATTTAGAATTAGTTTAGCTGTTTGTGTAAGTAGTACAATAGTTCTGAATCTATATTGTGTTATCTTCTCAGTGGTCTGCAGTATTAAAAAGATCTACTGCTTTTGCCTGTCCAATTAGTGCTTTAGGTATCAGTGGAGTGAATTTATTATATTTTGTACTCTTTTCTTTTTTCATTCTGAATTTCACAAATATTTTTTTTTTATCATTTGTGAGTGCAAAAATGGAAGACTGACTTTTTTACGCTACTCACACCCAAATGTGGACCACTGTTCTAATTAGTAAACTCCTACCCTGTTTTAAAATCTCAGAAGTATTTGTGATGTGACATTTCTTTTTATTATAGGATATTATAGATTATATTGTGGAAATAATAATGAAAAAATGTTTAATCTTTTTTTGTGCTATCATACCGGATTTTGTTGCATACATACACATATCATTGCATTTGTTAAATTTATTATAGTTTGAATTTTAATGTTAAGATGTTTTTCATATTTTAAACTTGTTTTTTTTTCTCAAGGTTGTTGAAGAGTTTATTTCATTTGCTTGCACTTTTTAACTAGTTTTTTTCTGTATTGAAATTATCTACCTTATGAGATTTATTAATTTGAGTCAATTATATTGAATGTACAGTTAAAAGTTTTTGGTGTGCTTGCATTTCTGCATTTTCTTATGTGTGTTCACTATACTAAGTGTTGTGAAAAAATATGACCTGAATTGTGTTCACTGGAGATACATGATTGTCTTTTGTTGACTGCACCTAAAATTGATATGCTTTAATCTATTTGTATATACTATACAAGAACAAAAAAGTTTTTGGATGATTTATGGTGCTTTATATTAGATGGAATTCACAAATGCTGGCAGCTCTTGTCTGAGATACTATTTAAATCTAAAGATGAAATTTTGTTTTGCTTAAAGTTGCTTGTAATTACCATGAAACAATAACTCAGCATTTTTCTAAGGTAAAATGATCTCTGTTTTTCATTCCTTGTGTTTCTTTTAATGTTTTCTTTTTTGTTCTATCTGGGATTAGTTTTTTTATTATTATTTCAGTGACTTTATGCGGGTTTTCTTCTGTTTGTGTGTTTTTTTTTGTGCTACTTTAGTGTTAACCTCTTTCAAGAAATTATCTCCCATTTTTCACATTGTTTTTATATTATGAATCTGAACGTACTTTTAGAAATAAAAATCTCTCTCCCCTGACTAAGCAATTCTTTTGTTTGTAGTCACAGTGTAAGTTATGTTTGTGTGTGCTTGGTTAGCAGTTCATTTATTTCTGTTATAGTATTTAAACTGTGTTGAATGTGGTAAAAACTTTAAAAATATATTGAAACGAAAATTATTACTGAAATTTGATACTCATGTGGAAATTTTTTTTGTTTTGTTGCAATATCCATTTATTTTCTTCAGATACTATATATATTCTTCAGGTACCTTGACAGCCTGCAAGAAGTTTACAAGTCAAAAATGTGAGAAAAATTGTGCACAAATTTATTAAAAACAGAAAAATTTCTTATTTTATTGTTTATAAGATGTATTGAACTGTTGCAAATATTGTGTATGTATTTAGAAGAAAATAAATATAAAAGCTTGAATTTTTAGAATCTTCATGTTTTCCTTCAGTTCTCTGTTGAATTTTTTTTTTTTTTTTTTTTTTTTGTCTTTTTGAAATTATGACAACAGTTTTGACCTTTTTTAAGACAAAGATAATTTTATTGATTTAGTTTCTTAAAAAAAGTAGATTAGATCAATGTACTATTAATCTTTATCTTTTTGTATAGTTTTTAATGGTTTGAAATTTTTTGATATTTGCAATTACTTTTCCTCCTGGTAATGCATTAATGAAATTTTGTTTTTCAAAAACACTAGAAATAAGAAATTAATTGTTTAAAAAATTCACACATTCTATTAATAACAAAATGATATTCAAATCTCAAATTCATAATTATATGATTTTTTTTTTTCATTGTTGGATTTTTACCCCCATTTTAGTTACATATCTTACAATTAAGAGAAGTTACAATAATTTTGTGCTATTTAATTGATTATTTAATAAAAACTATTATTTAAAAAGGGGGAAAGCATACTGGAAGTGTTAGCTAGGAGTGTTGCATCTAATCATTAATTTCCTTCTAATATTAATCAAAGGTGAATGCTATAGAAGTCCAAATTATTAGGGTTTTCAAAAAAGTTTTAAGTGATTTATCATTTGAAGTTAAAATAGTTTACTGGTAATATAAAATTAATGGTAAATTTTGGTGCAATTACTATTTAATATTTTTTTAATTAAAAAATGAATTTTGTTTGTTGCATAACTTTTAAAAATAGGATCATACTCCTTTCTGTATTGCTAGTAAAGTGGTATACTGTAAAAATGATGAAAGTTTGATGCATGAATATTATAGCTTTCATAGTGGAACAAGTAATTGTATTGCTGTAAGAGCCCTAAAAATTTATTATTCATTTAATAGTTACGAGTAGAATTGATATTTTTAAGCTAGATGTTAACAAATTTAACATATATTGAGTTACTTGAATACTGTGTTATTCTTATCTTTCTCTCTCTATATATATATAACTGAACAGCCCATGAGATAGAGAGGGCTAAAGCTTTCTGTGCCTACTCAGTTAACATAACCTTTGGTGCTGGGGTGCATGTGCTTATTTTTCGGTCAAGTGGAATATTAAATCGCTGAAATATACTTCTCTTTACCTTACTCCATTATAAACCAGAAACGATATGAACTAGAAATATTGATTTAAATTTTAAAAAATTGGGAACTTTCAAAAAATTAAAATCAAATTTATCTTTGTACACCCAACTCTTTTTTTTTTTTTTTTTTGCATGGTCCTTAGAGAACCATGAAAAAAAAAACATTGTGCTAAAAAATACATGGGAGGTATGGTAAGTTGGGATATGTGCTCCAAAACTTTAAACAATCAAGTTAAATGAAAAAATTTAAGCAATTTCCCATGTATAACCGTGCAAAAAAAGTAATAAAATCCATGTTGCACTTTTATTAAACAAAGACAGTTCATTTTTATTACAAAAAAATTAAAGTTAGTGTACAGTGAAAATTCAGTCAATGAGTACATACAACGTATAAAAATTCAAATTCAAATTGAAATTAGGAATAAAACTACTAACAACTATCCATCGCTACCTGATAATAAGCGTGCACATTTATTATGAAATGGGATTAAAAATATTATCTGTAAATATATCTTGCACAACTGTAGGCTTTGATTCAAATTAAGAATTTCTTTCATTGTTAACTATCTGTTTTTTCAATACTTACTATTAGTTCACACTCTCCCTGTATATATATATATATTTCAAATTTTCAATCGTGTTTATAAAATACTTTTTATTCATCCGCTCAAGTTCAAATACAATTTCTTAAACTTGTAGTGGATGACACTTGATGTTAATACTTTTTTTTCAAATATTAATTCAACTTAATGAATAAATAAATAGTAACAAACAAAAATAATAGTCCAACACCATTTTATTGAAAGGAAAATCGCGCTCATTGTGTCTCTAGTGCAATGGATAGCACGTTGGACTTTTAATCCAAAGGTCGTGGGTTCGAATCCCACCTAGGGGATTCGATTACTTTTACCATACTATTCTTCTAGTGATTTCGTTTTACTGTACTATTTTATGAGAATAATTAAATTTAATTCGTGAATAAATAGTAACAAACAAAAGAAAAATAGCCTAATACCATATATAGAAAAGAAAATTGAAAATTGCTTTCTATTTTGTCACGTAATGTTGCGATTCTGTCATGTGTATACATATTTATATTAATTGTAACTATTTAATAAAAAGTAACTAAAATTTTAAAAAAATTTAGTTGACCCAAGTAGGACTTCACATAATTTTATATACATATATATATATATATATATTACTTGTTTAAATATACTTTCGCTCAAATCAAACAATTACTAATCCATGTTTGTTTTTCACTACAAAATAGTCATTTCCCAATCATCTTGAAACAACTTATGTTCTAAAAATATTTTTCGTTTGTAAGACATCAGGAATAATTAAAAATTAGTTCCACCCATAAGTGATCGCTACTCTGTTATCATTAACCATTACAGTTACAAATGGGAATATATATATCCATTTGAACCCGTACAACATTGACAGCAAAAAGCAAAATTACTATATTTGATTTCTTGACTGAAAGAATTCCCCGTCAAAACATTGTTCTTAAATAAATGAATTTCTCAGAGCAATGGGCCACTTGAAAAGACCCGGTGGGCCGTAGGTTAAGTATCACTGCTCTATACTCTAAAGCCGCATTCGCACCTAGGTAGTTGAGCGCCTAGCCAATCAAAGACTTTATCTCGGGCGAAAAGAAGTCTAATTGGTTAGACTTACAACGCCCGACGCGCTGACTGCCTTGGTGTGAATGCGGCTTAATTGCAAACGATTTTATTAATTTACGAAAGTGTGAGTGGGTAAGTAAGGTAAGAAATGAACAAGAGTGGCCAAACCATCGTACTATCCTTTCCGTATAGCTGCCGATTGCCAATCCAGGACACGGCTGCCACATAGGTGTAGGATAATTGAAAGACTCCAAAAAATGAGTCAGTAAATATTAACGTCGCACTATTCAGTTACACGAGGGCTTTTGGCGATGGACCACGTAATTTTGAACCATGGTCAAGTGACGTGGACGGCACCCCCCTCTCCTAACTACCACACCACCGGAGGACGTTTCAGCTCTCAACAGATTTAACGTGCATTGTTGCCCTACACGGCGGGTCTTTAGTGGTACTGGGTTCGAATTCATGACATGCCTGCCATGATCCGATACCTTTACCACTGGGCTACCGCAGCCCAAGAGAGAGACTCTCCAATGATTGATTGATTGAATATTAACGTTGCATTGTTCAGCTACACGAGGGCTTTTGGTGACGGACCACGTAATTTTGAACCATGGTCAAGTGACGTGGACGACACCTGAGCTGGCACCCCCTTTCCTAACTACCACACCACACCTGTGGGAGGAAGAGAGACTCCAAAGAGCAAAAACAAAGAAAGGGAAAATAGTAAGAGAGAATCCCTCCCGAATCAAAACTGTCAAGGTAAGAACTGATGTGCTCTGAAAATAGTGTGTGTAACACGTTAAAATACCTAGGAAGCCGGGTAGGTTAAAAACGGAGTCGTAGTCACGAATTCGTGGCCGGCGTGTCATGAGTTCGAATCCTAGTCCGCCTTATGGAGGGGCTGATACACGTTAAGGCTGTTTTCGCCATATGCACAAGCGCGTGAGCTTAACGCGGAGCACATTTTCGGACAGAGAAAATGCCTCAATTTTTTTATAAAAATGCATGACATTGTTACTCATGCATTTGCTTATAATATAGTGTTTTTAAAATTTCAAAATATTTCATAAATAATCAGTTTTTCCTGTTAACATGTGAAGGGATAGCTCATTTAGCATTACGGTACAGGAGGAAAAAAATGCGAAACACATTTTATCAAAGAAAAAATGTGCCGACAAGGATAAAAACGAGTAGAATGATAAAATAAGTGATTCTCTACAGGATAGTGAAGCCAGAATATAATATTAATGTTTGTGAGTACTTTTATGTATGAAAAAATATTCCGAATTTGGGTCCTATTCTTTAGCATTAGCCGAAAACAGCCTTAAATTTGTTGTAACTTTAAAGTCCTCCCGTAGGCGTGGTATGGTAGTTTGGAGGACGGGAGAACAGCCCAGATGTCGTCCCCGTCACTTGACACATTTACGAGGTCCGTCGGCAATAGTTTTCGCATTGTTTTAGAATGCGGCTATAATAAACACTCATTCATAGATATACTCAGTTGTTCTAGTATGGCAGAGTAATTAAAGGATTTAAAATCGTTGGGAGAATAAAAATTACTTACAAATAAAAGTTAATTCATTTTCAAAAGTGCCATCAAAAAATTGCGATGAAGTGAAAGAAAATTGCTTTTTTGTTGAATTGCTTTTTTTTGGAGTTTTTAGATTTTTAGAACGAACTTGGGAATATATTTTTAATTACAAAAAAATTTAAATTATGATAAGATTTTTG